TTATTATTAACATTTATAAGGTCAATATTGCTGTACTTAGTTTCTACACAACGACATAAAATCACCATTTTACGTAGGTAGTAGTATTTAAGATATATATATGATATATATATGATAGATTGATATATATATGTTTTGAATGTCACGGACATTTGGCTCTTGCGACCGTAAAGAGAGATGAAGACTTTCTGATGCCTCCCTATCCCAGACGTTTTAATCAAGACACACACAATATATAGTATGCGGATAGTATATTATATATCTCACCCCGTCTTTTCATAACATCAGTCAGTTGGTTAACACGTTCAAGAGGTGAAATTTTCTACTCTCCGGACAGTAAACCCGTCACCGCGATCCATATGGTTGATACTCTCTGTGTTACTCTTTTTTTTTTTTTTCTTAGGTCTTTTAGTAACAGACTAAAAATTTCTTAAAATAAACGTTTAATACCACCTTTTATTCAAAATTCAGTTTTTCAAATAGAGTTTATGAAACAATATATGGGAGACAGTAACGTTGTTCCGCATATATTGTTTCATAACTCTATTTGAAAACTGATTATGAAATAAAAGGGGTATATAAACGTTTTATTTAAGAAATTTTTAGTCTGTTACACTAAAAGACCTAAAAAAAAAAAAAAGAGTAAACAGAGAGTATCAACTCCATTATGGATCCTACATTTTACTGTCCGGAGTGTACAAAGTAGCCTGTCCAGAAAATATAGACTAATGCTAATAATAGTATTAATAATTGTAAATGGCCATTGTTCACACCACCAGTTTGTTTTACTGTAAACTTGGAGGAAGCCAGCAGCGCAGGCTGCGCAGAGTGCAGACCGCTGCACTCTGCGAATAATCGATTAATATCCGCCAGGGCTGTCCGATTTTCGAATTTGATCATGGTCAGTTTCTGGCATCCCTAGTCCCTACTGTACATGTGTTTATTTAAAATCATTCATAAAAATCGTGGCAGCAGTAGTTCAGGCTGTAAGGACTAAGCTTGGGAACTGGAGTGTTGTACTAGCTACCAGTTAATCTCTTGGTTAACTGAGGTGACCCTTGAGCAAGGCATCTAACTAATCTATAGCTCAAGTGCTGTAAATAAAACCCCTGCCCAATGCATCCTTATAGTAGGATTTGTTCAAATGCAAATTGTAAATTGAGTGCGTGTGTGATACTGGGTACAACCAAAGTTGATGCAACCTATATCCTCCATTTAAAAAAAATAAATAAATAAAAAGGTATGGTAGGTGCTATTCCAGCAACTTTGAGAAGGCTGTTTGATAAACGGTACTTACTTTCTCTCATTTTAATGCTTTCAAATAACCAATGCATTTCAACTAAGGACACTTTGAGAGAATCCCTATTTAATAACCATCTCTGCATGTGTGCACTTGGTTCATTGTATCTAAGCACAACTTTGCCTTCCTAGGTGTGGGGGCTGCCAGTTCGGGAAAACTGACTTTTATGGTTGGAGGAGCAGAGGAGGAATTCACTGCAGCCAAAGAGCTGCTCACCTGCATGGGAGCTAATGTGGTGTACTGCGGCCAGGTTGGAACTGGACAGGTGGGTCATATACTGAATGTTACTGATGTATAGAGAGTAGTTTGAGTTTTTGTAGGCTTTTGCCAATTGAATAAATCAAACATTTGAGTCATAAAATACAATTAATTACAGTGGTGTTCAAGTATGTGAGCTTTAACATACTGTTATTTCATTACAGGCTGCTAAAATCTGTAACAACATGCTTCTGGCCATTGGAATGATTGGGACTTCAGAGACGATGAACTTGGGAATCAGGTGAACTCTTGGTTACAAATAAAATAAATCATATACATTCATTTTAAATAATGCTGTCAAAATTATCGCGTTAACGGCAGTAATTTTTTTTTTTTAATGAATTGCGTTAAAATATTTAACGCATTTAACGCATGTGCAGAATGGCCCGCCCAGTGGCAGCGCCAGGGTATGGCTGGGGTAGGCTACACCAAGCCCCCAGGAAGTGCGCCGGACTCAGATGAAAATATTCGTGCTGGCCAAACGGCGGTACTACACTTCCGT